ACTCCAGCCAAGCCCTTGCCTTGCAATGGGGTTGCTGTGGTGGCTCACAGATATTTTACCCCACAATCTCTAGCCCAGCATGAAGTGGCTGTGTTCTAGTTTAGAATGCTCCTTCAGTGGCACCATATGCTGCTGACACCATGTCTTTAAACAACTGATTAGCCTTACTAAACCTACTGAACTCTACAGGGAGACCCAAAGCAAACATTCTAGGACACAGAAGGGAGCCCCTTCTCTGAAGCTTCACATTTCCTGAATCAGTGGATACGCAATGAATACAAAAACTTGTAGGATTTGGGGAGTACCTTGTTTCTTCCTTGGACTCTTACAGTTAAATGTTGCATCTGAGAATACCTGCAAGTGCAGATACTTTCAGAATAAAGCCAATTCTGTATGTAGTATTCCAATAACACATATTTTCATTTCTTACTAGTTTCTGGCCTATAAAAAGTGCTTCCTACACAGACACTAGGCCTAGGTTTATGGCTTTTTTTTCCTCCTAGAGATATAAGGCAAAGAGAATGTAAGTAGAGACTTGGGAAATGCATGCTTTTTTTTTTCTCAGCTAAGAACCCTGCAAATGCCCCATGATAAAAGAATCTGACATCAGTGGATTTTTCAGGACCTTATTTTCAAAAAACGTTTGTCAGAGGCTTAAGATTTCCCCACTGTCCTTGTCTTATTCTCTGCCATTGTCTGCCAGTTTCCGTATGTTCTATTCCTCCGACAGAGTCTGCACATTGTCACACTTTCATCTTTAACCCAGATTAACTAAACTGGTGAGAAAACAAAGTGTGCATCCGGGAGCCATTATATTTTCTTATAATTGAATCTTAATAATTCAGTCATCCTTTTTTCTCTGGACTGTGGCCTATGCACAGAGTCTCCAGAAATGAAACCGATGCTTTCCCTTTTCTGGATACAACATAATAGAATTATTTGCCTGTTAGCTAAATTTATCCACTTTCATGATAAAGTAAGACTGCTGGGTGGGGTCTGTAATGGAGATGGACTACCTTACCCCACATAGATAAGGTTCTATTTATGTCTTTCCCCTGGATGGTCTATCTGGAGAAATTTCTCTGCGTATTTTTCAGAGATCAGGTCTTTTGATGACAGCAGTAAAATTCCAGTAAGTCAATGCTTGGGTTTATGTTTCACAACACAAGAAGCAATCAGTAAATTTACATAATTGGAAGCCTACTACAACAGAGGGAATTTTGACCTATTTAATTAATAGACAACTATTCACTTAAAGACACACTCCTATGATATCTCCAACTTAAACAGATCTCTGTAACCTGAGGAAGTTTTCTGAACACATTATTTTTCTCTAGACATGCACAAATGCAAAAACACGTTTTGTATATTTGTGCATGAGTGATCTATAGAAGTCCTTGTCTTATTTTATTTTATTTTATTTCATTTTTGAGATGGAGTCTTGCTCTGTCGCCCAGGCTGGAGTGCAGTGGTGCAACCTCAGCTCACTGCAAGCTCCGCCTCCCGGGTTCACGCCATTCTCCTGCCTCAGCCTCCCGAGTAGCTGGGACTACAGGCACCCGCCACCATGTCCAGCTAATTTTTTGTATTTTTTTGTATTTTTTAGTAGAGACGGGGCTTCACCGTGTTAGCTGGGATGGTCTCGATCTCCTGACCCTGTGATCCACCCTCCTCGGCCCCCCAAAGTGCTGGGATTACAGGCATGTGCCACTGCGCCCGGTCCAATTTTTGGTGTTTAGTAGAGATGGAGTTTCACCATGTTGGCCAGGCTGGTCCCAAACTCCTGACCTCAGACGATCCACGTGCCTAAGCCTCCCGAAGTGCTGGGATTACAGGCCTGAGCCACTGCGCCCGGCCGTCCTTGTCTTATTAATGAAAGTTCCTGGTGACATAACTTCATCACTTACACTTACACTATCACTTATGTGCACTCACATGTCACTGGTTTCAGACATTTCTCACCCGTATGATGGGGCAATGGGTGCCTCTAAGAATGCGCTGATTTTTGGACTGAACATGTTCTCCACTCCTCAATTGATTTCGTGGTTCCTCGCTCATGCTGAGGTGTCTGTGACTGAAAACCCAACACTGATATTCAGCGGATTTTCTTCTTATGCGATTCATATTCTCTGTCTCTCTTTCTCCCCATTTCTATTATCTTTCTCTGTCAATACTATTTATTACTGAATCATCCTGAATCCTGCCAACAGGCTCCATCTCACATTCTGCCAATCTTCTGCCTCAAAGGTAATTAGGAGCAAACTCATCCTTTCCCAAGGTGGGAAACCTCTCCGGACTTGCATCAGATTTAGAGCCTCATATGAAGAACCACGAAAAAATATTATTTGTTTTTGGATTATACCTCAAAACAAAAATGTTTCTCCATAATGGCTATGGCATTCCATATTCCCACCATTATGCAAAGCTGTATGGAGGCTCCCAAACGAATTAAAGCAGAAATACCATATGACCAGCTATCCGGCTTATGGAAATATACCCAAAGTGGATGAAATTTCCACCTTGTGAACATATCTGCTCTCCTGTGCTTATTGCAGCAGTATTCACAACAGCCAAGATATGGAAACCAGGTGTCTGTCAATGGACAAATGGATAAAGACAATGTGGTATGTGTACACAATACAACAGTATTCTGCCTTATAAAATAGAGAGGCTGACATTTTCCACTAGACAAATGGATTCTCACCACCACTGGCAAAGCATTTCATCCATTGCAGCCCCTTCCTGAGAGCTGGCTGATCCAGGTCCAGTAGAAAGGACTGGTTGTGAAGGAGTGACCAGAAACAGTGCAGGTGAGGCAGAGGGCCAGTGCAGGCTCCTGAGATCCAGGGTTGACTCCTGCAGCTGCTCCAGGGCATGTGAGTATATGGGGAATCAGTCCCTGTCAGTCACGTGTATCTGCTCTCACCCTGTAGATCCATGTCTGACACCTGAGACACTCACCCTGGGGAGCTGTCACCAGGCACAGGAGAAGATACAATAATACCGTCTTCTTCGTGAACACAACTCTGCATTCCCCAGATACCTCAGCCCTGCCTGAGGCGAGAGCCATTAGCTTACACAGTTTACAAGCATTTTATGCCCTGGAGCCTGAAGAATATTCTGGATGTGGCACAGACTTGTACTTATAAGAGGAGAGAGGGACAGAGGTCAGACTCCCTGTGGATTGGAATATTTTTTATTGTTGTCTGTTTATTTTCAGGTTGACATGAAACAGTTTCTTGCCAAAAACTACCATCATTACAGTTCGTAAAATTTGTGGTATACCTGTTTTCCTAACTGACAATTTGAACTTCTGCATCAAGTAAGCAATGTGCATAACTTACAGGAACAATTAAAAAATAACTCTCTAAGTCATCAGTATTACATGAATACTACCCTGCGATTACTGCCAAATGTCTTCTGGAAATATTTAAGTAAAAAGAAATCGTAAATTGCATCCTTGGGTTAAAGGTAGCATAACGCTCAGAAACTCAGGAACTCCCTTTGCCAAAGGTACCCCCACTAGAACTTACAACCCATGGTCTCCTTCCTCAAGGACACAGACATTATCACCCTATGAATTGATTCATCACAAGCCCATGTATTTCCCATGTTACCTACAATATCATACTCTGATTCATCACATGCCGATATAGCAAAGTATTTTAGGGGATCAATGTGCTATGCAGAAACATTCAACAGGATGTTAAAAATGTCTTCCCACTACATCTTCCTAAATAGCTTCTTAATTAGTGTCAACATGGTAATTCTTCATATTAGAAGAGACATCAGAGAAAAACAGACTCAAATATTGTAAAGGGGCTAATTAACATTAAGAACAAATGCAGCAGTGACTCCAGGATGTCGATCCACAGGTTTATGAAGTAAAAATGAGGTGGGTTCCATAAGTTGTTTTGAAAGAATTATTCTTTGCATGTGGAATCAACACCAAGGGTGGCATCAGTGTAGGGTTAAACAGGCAGTTGCTGGGAAGATGTCCTTTTGAAGCGATTTTTAAAAGGTTGTGGTGGCTGCTATCCAAGGTTGTGATTAAGCAGAATCCATTTATGGTAGCTCTTGTTATCAGGAGTATGTACATGGGACCCCTTCTTCCTGGTCATTCCTAGTTCCATTTGTCAGGGTGTTAACACAAGTGGCTTCATTTTGATTCTGACAACTTTCACACCTTCTTTCTAACACTACTGGTGAGGAAGGTGACTCTGTGGTACTTTGCACAGCACAGGATAAATTTCACATCCACATCCCATTTTGACCACACAAGCTAATCCCCTTCACTACTATTGGCTGCTTGCATTCCCAGGTAAGTCAACACACTGCAGTGTGCTGAGCAATGGGAGAGAAGAAAGTCAGCCTGCAGGAGCCAGTCTAAGCCCCACCTGAGCTGCAGGGAATGGGCTTGAGGCCTGGAGCTTCAACAGCGAGAACCTCATCCCCACTTTACATGGAGCAGAAACAGTACAAGAAAAAGCAAGAACAACAACAAACAAAAAGAAATAGAATGGGCCAAGAGTAAAAGGCATCCCAGATCAGTGCTGATTCTGATTTCACACTTCAGTGCCAGTAGAAGGATCAGACGTGAAACCTCTGAAGTTCTACATGATACTGACCCTGGCCCAGCCTCTCTATTGGCTGTGATCAAAATTCCTAAAGACTGTTCTAGTCAGGGAATCTCACTGAGATTTCTGGCCTGAGTCTAATTGAAGACAACTCACGAGGCACCCCTGTGTTTCCTCAGGACTCTGATCCTGGTGACCATGGTTGAGGACTTTTCATCTCCGTAAGCATCAGTCTGCATTGTGTACATATGAGAATAGGTTCTTACATTAAAATTATCATTGTAAAAACCAGTAGAGATGACACTGGTAAGCACAGGATACTGAACTTAGAGAGGTTCCCTAGAGAAAGAGTAAAAAGATGAAGTCCCACATCCTGACAGGAAATCAGCCTCCATGTGCACCTGTCTCTGGGGTTGACTCTGATCAGTGGGTCCTGAGCGCCCCCTGCAGCTGATTTCCTCCAGTGTCCCTGCAGGGAGGTTTGTGTCTGGGCTCACACTGACTTCCCCTCACAGTGTCTCTTGCACAGTAATACACAGCAGTGTCCTCAGCTCTCAGGCTGTTCATTTGAAGATACAAGGAGTTCTTGGCATTGTCTCTGGAGACGGTGAATCGACCCTTCACAGAGTCTGGGTAGTATGTGCCTCCACCAATGCTAATAGCTGAGACCCACTCCAGACCTTTCCCTGGAGCCTGGCGAACCCAGTGCATGTCATAGCTACTGAAGGTGAATCCAGAGGCTGCACAGGAGAGTCTCAGGGACGCCCCAGGCTGTACCAAGCCTCCCCCAGACTCCACCAGCTGCTCCTCACACTGGACACCTGCAAACACAGAGACACCAAGGTCAGAAATTGCCACACATATCCACTCTTTCTGTCATTTATGTCCACTCATACTCAATATCTCTAGTTCTCCATGAATCATCACCTTTTAATATAGCAACAAGGAAAACCCAGCTCAGCATAAACTCCATGGTGAGTCCTGTGTGTTCAGTCCTGATCACTGAATGAAAACACCTGGGAATCCCAAGTCTGGGGCTCCTCTCCCAGAGCTGCAGGGTCAGGGCTGGGCTGCTTTTCATCAGCAGAGGGAGGGCCCTATTTGCATGTCTCCTACTATATAGCAAGCTCTGGGTTGGGATGCCTGAGGAGAGGGCAGGAACCAGAGCAGATGAGAGCGTCCTGGGGGATTTTGATGACAATGATTGTGTTTGGGAAAATGCTGTCTTATTGTGAAATAGTTCTGTAATAAACATTTAACAACTACCACATTTTAAATTATGTTTACCTATGTGTATAAATTATGCTATTTAGGAGTCGGTGGTTTCTTCATTTACAGATGTAAAAGTGAACCCACACATGGAGGGGCTGTGCATGTGTCTAAGGGCTTATAACTGGCATGAGTGAGTCCTAGTATCCGGGCCTATGCTCCTCACAGCTAGCCTCAATGCGCCCTTAACCAACTCTAGGGCAGAGCTAAACTTGCCTACTGTGGTTTGCAGAATCCACTTCCTGTCACGAGAACCTGTGTGATTTTGCTGCATTTACCTAAAAATATTGAGACAACTAGAGGTCAGGCAGATAAATTTTTACGTGTATCTGATATTTAACATATTTATTTGTTCCTTCCTATCATCTCTTTGTGTTGAAAACTTCAGTTGTTTACTTGTAATAAATTTTATGAGCTTTAATTGACAGATAATAAAATTCACATATTTAACCTGTGCAATAGTAAACTTAAAAAAGAAAATCTCTATTTTCAAGAAGGTGACAAGTCAGCTCCCCTCAGCATTCCTCTTGCTCTTTTATATATTTTTTTTGTTTTTCTTCTTCTCTTTTTCTACCATTTCTTTATAAAACTACTGATGTTTTCATATTTCTTTAGACTAGTTTTTATTTTCTAGAATTTATAAGAAGAATAAAATAATAGTACATACTCTTATCTATTTGACTTATTCTTCTCAACAGAAATACTAACAATTTAACTTTTATGTTGCATGTGTTTATTTCTTATAAATAATGGATAGCATTTCAGGAAAGTTGCTAATTGATATTTGAATTTTTCATTACTCTGGGTCTTACTAATAATTTTTTCTTCTATTAAGTTGCTAATTGACATTTGAATTTTTAAATACTCTGGGTCTTACTAATAAATCTGCTACTCAGCTTGGAAATGTACATAAATAATAAATTATATATAAGTTATATATTTCTTTTTGCAACAACAAAACAGATAAACAAGAGAATGTGCTATTTGGCCAATTTTCTTTAGTATTTCAGATAATTGAAGTTATGAAATCAAAAAACAAACCTGTAAAACCAAAGAGTATCTGAGACTAATCTCAATAGATTTAGGAAGTTCATTTTTCCAAGATTAAGGACATGCCAGCAACACAGCCTCAGGGAGTCCTGACATATGTGCCCAAGGGGGTGGGGCAGAGCTTGGTTTTATTCAATTAGGAAGACACGAGACATTAATAAATATATGTAAGATGTACATTGATTTAGTTCAGAAAGGCAGGACAACCTGAATTTTGGAGAGAGCTTCCAGATCATAGGTAGGTATGAGAGAAATGGTTGCATTCTTTTGAGTTTCTGATTAGCCTTTAACTGAATGCATAATTTACAGAAGTAATCATGCAGGCCTTAGTCTGGCTTAGCGAAACAATAGAGCAAAGGTAGCAATCAGATATGCATTTGAGTTACAGGAGCAGAGAAATGACTCTGTCTGCCCTTGGTCCACAAGGGTTTTCCTTGTCAAATTTGGAAGGACTTACGTATATTTTTTAAAACCTTAGTAGCTAAGGGGAAAGAATGGACGTGGGTTTGCCCCAAAGAGTTTTCAGCTTGACTTTTCCCTTTAGCTTAGTGCTTTTGGGGTCCCAAAGATTTATTTTCCTTTCATGAACATGGAAATCTCGGGAGAAACGAGTTCTCGACATGCTGGGGACAAATATCAGTAAACAAACATCAGAACTTATTTTTTTAGAATTCTCTATTCAAAGGTCAGGCCAAATAGTATCTCCACAGAGATAACTCCATGGCTCAAAGGAAAAGCTCACAAAAATTAAAACACACATGTATACACACACACACACACACACACACACACACACCCACAGTGGTATGGCTGATGTTTACAGTTACAAATACAATTTTGTCCTGTCCTACTTGATATTTGATTAATAATTACCAGAAATGCATCAGGTCTCATGACAGTTATGGAAGTTTTTCTCTTTATACTAATGACACAATTTATAAAATTGTCACAATCATATATTTATGAGTACTCCTCAAAGTTCTATAGATTATTATAAGGCACCTTATAATGAATCAAAGTAAAACAACAACTGTGGATGACTGAAGTTTTACAATAGCCGTGGTTAAAGACAGAATTGAGGAGAATATTTGATTATGTCTGCAATAAACAAAATGTTAGATGATAATCACAAGTACTATTGATAAAACATACTAAGACATAAAAATCACATGAATCTAATACAATACTGGAACATACACTCTTTATATAACTATATTCCAATTAAATAATCCACATTTATATAAATATAGTCCAAAGTTAAACACTATTACAAATTTGACATTGCTTCCTGTACTATTTAATTATATCAAATAAGCTAAATATGTTTGTTTTCAGCTTCAGGGGGCCTAGTATAAAAAAAAGTATAATGAGTTCAAATGACTGAATTTAGAATTTTATTTTGTGAAGTTTGTCAAATATCAAAAGTTTACCACACTTGATGTTACAGAATAGGGATTACAGATTATTTTAAAGTAAGTTATTTATTTAGCCGAATGACAACTCTGTGATTTCTTTAAAAAGCAAAAAGAAATGATTTTTTGAAAGAGAAGAATTTTCTAAAATAGAACCCCTTATAAGAACAGCATGAGAAAAGTTAAAACTGTCTCTCAATTCTGAAAAATATATCTATTAAATTATAATTACTTTACCATAAAATATAATTTCCATAGATCTTTTATAAATTTTATAGGTTTTTAAAATTAAAAAGTAGATTAATTCTTCAAGAAATCCTTGTCAATCCGGCACAGGGGCCCAGATGCTAGCCTTGCATTATGGGCATTTAATATTAATGTTTAATTTGTAAAGAAACTCTGAAGTAATTTCACCTCTCAGAATTACCTTTTACAATCTTAAAAATCCACTTATTCTGTAATAGTCCCTGGACCTGGAGTGGTTTTAGTTTCAATTTCTGGCCTTGTGTCTTAAGAGTGTGATTATTTTTTATTATCATTTTCTTCCAGGTCTGTATATTGGGCTTTAATTGCTGTCAGTTTTTAAGATTTAGCAAAACTTGTTGTCCTTTTTATTTTTTATTTTATTTATTTATTTATTTATTTTTCTAAGATGGAGACTCACTCTGTCACCCAGGCCGGAGTACAGTGGTGCAATCTTGGCTCACTGCAATCTCCGCCTCCTGAGTTCAACCAATTCTCCCTGCTCCTAAGTAGCTGGGATTACAGGTGCCCACCACCATGCCTGGCTAATTTTTGTATTTTTTAGTAAAGACAGGGTTTTGTCACATTGGCCAGGCTGGTCTGTAACTCCTGACTTCAGGTGATCCACCTACCTGGGCCTCCAAAATTGTTGTGTGTCCTTTTTAGATCTAGGAGTCTAAAAAGTAATGTAGCAGCACAAGTCCTTTAAAAGTAATGCAGATAGTTACATGAATGCGATAACATCAATTTATATTTTCTTAAAATCTCAGTATTCCTAAGTAGTTAAAAAACTTAATAACAATTACATAGGAATTAAATATAAAATTTGTTTTGTGCCAGTTACCAAATGGCAAAAAAAAAATCTTTTGCAGTCTGACTGTTTTTCCCTCTGGGGAACTCCATGTAGATAACCTGCTAGTCAACTCTAATGAAAAAAGTATTTGAATTAATTAGACATAGGAAGACTGTGTCTTGGATTACAAGTGAAGATTTTGGTTTCATATAAAAATGTAGACATTTAAAGAAAAGCCAAGAGGACAGGATGTTATATTGAAAGGGAACATTTTATTTAGAACTTTAAGATAAAGGATTTTTGGCATCAGGCAATAATAGCAGTTAGAAGTTAACAACAGTTCGAAGTTAACTCAGAGGCTAACTGCTGTAAGAAAAAAAATGTTAAAGGAGTTGATGAAAATGTTGAGATCTTCTCAAGACTTACCAAAGGGAATAAAATAAAAATGGCAAAATGCAATAAAAGTTCAACTTTTTGGTTAAAAAATTACAATATCTTGTAATTTTGTTGAGTAAATCAATATTAAGATAACTTTGTCATTCTAATCAATCTTCAGTGTATTAGTATATTTTTATAAGAAAGCCAGATCTCTACAAAGACTTCCCTTTTAATTATAGTCAACTTGATAATCTGAAGTTATTTTTAATAAATTAGATTTTTACAAACATTTCTTTGACTTACACAAACTGGTTTTTTTTTTTTTTTTGCATACTTGAACATATTGTTTTATTCTAAACATCACTCTTTCTTAAATAAACTCATTTCTATTTTAGGATAAAAAGTTACCATACAAGATTCTTTCCCATATTATTATTTTTTTAATTTAACCTTTCTTACCAAAAGTACTTCTCAATGTCTATAACTTTCTTTAAATCTCTCTTATTGACTGGTTATGTTTATGATGTTTTAAAATTAAACATTGAATTAAATAAATTTTTGTAAGAAATTTTTTAGAAAAATATTTTCTTATAGTATATATTTTTAAAACAATTTGCAATGACCTAAACATTTAGTTAATATCCATTATTTAATTAAACTTTAGATTTTTAAATTG